GAGCGGCAGGACGCAACCGGCACCCCGAGTGCCTGAACAGCAGCTCGCGCCACGGCCGCCCCGCCGAGGGCGCCTCAGTCGTTGTGCAGGACCACGACCGGCTGCTTGCAGTGGTGGATGACTGCGGCGCGGCCGGGCGGCATGAGGGCAGGGCAAGCGTGGGGCATTGAAAGACAGATGCGGGGGGTACACGCGCGCTCCAGTGCAAAATTTCAACGTAATGCCCTCATGGCTGTCACAGCCTCGCCTGGACCTTTGCTAGAAGCCCCCAACTGCCAACAAAGCTGCCAGGCAGCTGCCCACCGTACGAGCTGCAGCTCCCCAGGAAGAACTCCTTCAGGGCGCCCTTGTTGTGCTGCGCGGGGAGCGGGGGGCATGCGGCCACAGCAGGCGCGGACACAGCCGTGTGTCAGGCCCAAGTTGCAGAGAGAGCTACGCAAGATCAACAAGCAGGGCTGCTAAAGCTGGTGATCGCACTCGCTAAGTGTCCCACAGGCAGGTGCACGGCAGCGCCGAGCCTGGGCTGCGACGCGGCGGGCGAAAGCACAGTGCATGAGGTCCAAGGGTTTCCATGCGTAGGGGGCGGCTACAGCCTCGGGGCGCCGGCTGCCTGCGGCGGCGCTCGCCTTGGCCATGACCACTGCGATGGCGTTGAGGGCCTCGGCGCGGCTACAGATCAGCTGGCCGATGCTGCGGGAACGGGAGGGGATGCGGTGCGGCGCAGGTCGCGAGCTGGTCGGTTGGGGCGGCGAGATGCGAGGGGCAAGAGCTGCCTTTGATGGCATGGTGGTTTGGGCAGGCGTGGTGGCTTGCAGACCAGCTGGCTGGAGCGCCACCCTGACCGAGGATTGATGCAGCAAGGCCTACGGGAGTGTGCCGCCCCCCCCCCCAAAGTTGGCGCACCTGTCGGTGCTGGTGTCGCAACGGATGAGGTGCACTGCGGGGCGCACGCGCGCAGGGCCGAGCAGGGATCTTAACGCCGTGGGTGTCAAAAAACACTGCTGGAAGCCCCTCGGCCTAAAGAGACCAGGGAAAGCCGCCTGAACTGAGGAGCGATAATGCACGCACAATCAACTGGAATTGTGTAGAGCCCTGACATTCCCCTATAATACCGAGACACTTGCCATCACAAGGGATCTGCCGCGGCGAATGATGGCAGCATGCGGGATGGCATGATGGTGGGGGGCAGGGGGAGTTGGCTGACGTGAGAATGCAGCGGGACTGGTGGGCCTGTTCCACGCCTGCCCAGACCCCGCTTTGGTGATTGCTCTCATTGCAGGCAGGCAGGCGCGGCCGTCCCCGCGCGCGGTCCCTGCAAGTATTGCAAGCGCAGCGGCGCACGTGGCGGGTCCTGAGTACGGCCTCGAAGCGCTCGCGGATGAACGCCTGGGCGTGGTCCTCCTGGGGGAGGGGGGGGGGCAGGGCATGGGGCACGCGTGGCCACAGGATTCAGCCGAAGCAAAGGCGGACGGCAGGGCCCCCGCGTTACAGTTGCAAGCCGTGCATCGACCGCTGCCCCTGGGTGGGCGTACTGGTGAAACTCGAATGCACTTGCCCGCTTGCGACCCTGCGGTGCCGCGGCAGCAGGCGGCAGCGCAACTGGGCGTGGCTGCAGCCACAGGGCGAGCGCTGGTTGTTGCTGCAGCCGTAGGAAGGACGCCGGGTGGAGCGGCGACTGTATCAAAGGCTCTGCAAGTCACCCCGGCGCACCACTTTCTTCTTAGTGGCCTCGTCGTCCTCAATGACGCCCTCTATGCCCAGCTCCGGGGTCACCACAAGCTTGTGGCCGGGCGGGATGACGTGGATGAGGTGGACCTGGGGGGCGGGTGGGCGGAGAGGCAGGGGAGGAGGTTGAAAAATGTTGACGGATGTGTGTGAGCTGGCGGACTGGGGTGGGGGCGGCCGCGAGCAAGCAACGCAGCTGCCACTGAGCAGTGTTGAGCCAACGGCAGGGCCGGGATCCTTCCGGTTATCTGCAGTCGTGAGCAGCCCGCCAGCGGCCCTCGCTCGGCCCTGCTGGGTAACGAAGGCGGGACCGGGCCGGCATCCTGCCCACCTCGTCGCCTGCAAAGAGGAGGGCGACATCAAGCCTCATCAATTATTGGCAACGGGTTGTCATCAACATGTTATCATGGGTGCATGGCGGTGTGGGCGTCACGCACTGGCCACGCGGTGGAAGCAACGGTGCTTGCCAGACATCGCCGGTCCCGCCTATTACTGGACAAGCGGCAGCCCCCCCCCCGCCCCCGCACCCACCGGGCTTCAACATGTTGTCCAGGGTCCATTGAAACGTCTTGTCAGATGCTGGGGACTCGTCTACCGCCACCAGGAGCTGCCGCCCGGTTGTGCGCGTAGAGGTCCACGCAGGTGGGCGGCGAGTCACCGAGACGGTGGCGAGGTGGCGATCCGGGCACAGGCGAGGGGCGGCATGCCGCCGCCACCGCAGTGACAACATATCCTTCACATACATCACAGGTAGCAAGACGGGAGCCCCCGCAACACCGTTCTTCGCATCCCGGCATCACCTTCCGCGGACCGTCCATGCCTGCTTGGCACGTACACGAGGTCCTAATTAAAGTGGGCACACGCTATGTGTCGGGGCTGTCCTATGTTATTCCGCGAGATCACTGACAAGTCTCGGGGGGCTCGAGCAACGTCAAGGGCCTTATGGGGGTGTTTCTTGTCTTCTTCCTTCGTGCAAGATTGCATGTGTAATTTTGGTTATGTCGCGTAGGCCGAAACGTGATGTGGCCAATTGGCGTCCCAGCTGTTTTCCCCTCCTGGCAGCAGCTTGTGCGAGCTCTTCAGATGGGTAACTGGGGTGCAGCAAGTCGCATTGGCAGTGAAAGGTGCTGTTGTGTTCTGCGACCTCCACAGCTTTTTTGCGATCCCTGCAACTCTGGTGGTTACAATCTCACCAGTGAGCCCTCACCAATGTGCCCTCTGCAGTTGTATTTCAGCAGCCGTGTGGTGAGGCCGCAAAGGCAGACTTCATGATCGACGCGCAGCCGCCGACAAGAATCATCCAGTCACAGACAAACTCTCGATTCCGTTCAAGCAAGTTCCCAGCAATAGGCCACCCCTGGGCCCCCCGGCCCCAGCCGGTGGGCAAACCCAGGTAGCAGGCACCTAATAGAGGTGCACGGGGGCAACGGCGGTCGACTGGGTGGGGGTTCTCCGTCCTGGGATGGTCCCCCAAAAGCACAACAAAGAAGCCAACAGAACCAACCGACAAACACGCAGGAAATCACCCTCAACCCAATCTCGATTTGCGTATCAGTCGCCACGCACGCGCGTGCGTTTGCTTCGCAACGACGCGCGGGCAAGCGCTGCACGCGCTTCTACACACACGCCAACAGAACGTGAGCCACGGAAAGGCAACAGGGAACACAGGGGCAAAAGCGGGGGCATGGCATGGTGCGCGGGTTGCAGCGCTGACGCTGTGCGGGGCGCCAGGGTATCCCAGCGCGGCCGCAAAAGCCAGGCCCAGGCACAGGGGGGTTGCGGAGGGATTCTCAAGGGTCCAGGGGTGCAGCGCGCGGGGGCAAAGGCCGCCGACGCGCGCTCCCTACATGCAAGGAACCATGCACGTCGCGACAGCCACATGCTGGCCGCGGCGTGCCAGAGAAAAGGGCCACGCCGGCCGCGGCGGGGCCCAGGGCCAGGGCCAGCCATGCGGCTGGCACGCACGCTTGGCAGAGGGATCCCTCGGGCTTTCAGACTGATCCCTCGAGGCTTTTCAATACTCTTGTCGCTGTCTCTCAGCCACTTCACCAACCCTCCGCTCCGCCTCCAGGGGGCGCCTGATGGCGCCTCCTTTCTCTTCACTCTGGGCCCTCCAGTCCGCCATACCCCCAAGCCGCCAGCTTGAAGGGGGCGCGAGGGGGCCGTCTTCCAAAGGGCGCGTCACCGGCGCGCGGGCACGTCCTCGCGCGCCACCGCCGCGGCGGCCGCGAGCGTCTCCTCGCTCAGCAGCTGAATAGCAGCGCCTGTTTACCAAGGGGGGGCGAGGAACATGGGCAGTGTGGCGTGTGTTGGCGCATCGCAAAGGCCTTGACAGTGAGCAGCCTAATTCAAGCCCGCCTGCTATGTCCAAGCTGAAAAAGCTTCAGTCGGGGCTGCGCTCATCGGCGCCAGACGAGGTCGCGGGCGCGAGAGCGTGCGGAGCACTCCCCCGCCGCAGCCGGCGCGCGCGCACCCGCGGCGGGGATGATGGAGTATGTGGTGCCGCTGAGGGCGCTGCAGAACAGGCTGTCGTGCTGCATCTTGACC